GAAATGCATACCAAAGCTTAAAGCAGCAACAACGATACACATAAAAACTGATGTTGGTGAAAAAATACATCGAAACGTATTTTGATTGATAAATAGAGACAATAAATGACCGAAACCCAGGAATGAATTTGATTTGGAATTGAAACACAGTCAGGAAAGTATATACTTAAAAGGAATGACGCCAATTTTGAATCACCCTGTATACTCGTGCACAGATGTTTTAGGAATGCTATCAAAAGAGTCACTACATATCCCGGAGCAGATATTAGATCAGACCATCAAACTTCTTGTTGCTGATATTGAACTACGCTTAAAAAATACCAACGACAAAAATTGAAAACAAATACTTTTAACTTCGTAAATGTAAAAATAAAACAATAATTTAATAACAACATGAAGCTTATCGACAAACAGCTAGAAGACCCAGAAGAACTGTGTTGCGAACTTAAGATCAAAGCCAGAGAAATCTGCACGAGTAATGAATATAAGAAAGACTTAATAAGGAATAATAAATTGATGACAGAAGATATCTTAAAGCTAATGGCACAGCGAAAACTAGCAAAAACAAATGACGCAAAGTACAGGTATCTACAGAAAAAAAATTAAAAAAAGATTAAGATCGCCAAAGAGAAATTGATAGGTGAAGAGTGCGAAGAAATGGAAAACATAATGTCCACCCATGATTTATTCAACATACATAAAATTGAAGAATATTTGTATGAGATCCAGGTGAGAGTGCAATTTGCAGTTTTATGTTTTGATGAAAGACCGCTGAAAACCTGCACCCAAAAAATTATTCAGCAGCTTAAAATTAGGCGCATTATTTAAAGAAACAAAGGGGGCTGATTTTCCTGAACAATATTTTATATCATCAGTCCCAAAAGATTTTAAATAACTGATATGGAAACCCAAAAATTCAGAAAATCCCTAAAAACCTCGGAACAGCACAGAATCAGATGGAATAATCCACCAACAATCAAGTTCTAATCATTTTCCTAGAAAATGCACAAAGCAATCAATATCCATAATTAGAACTTGCTTCTCTCTGGCCAAAATTCAATTCTGGTTTTTTTTAAATTGGAAAACCATCAGTCCATTATTTTCGCTTTCTATAAAGACAGAAAAACTTCGTAATCCTCACTTGGGAAACACAATTAAATCGAGATGAGCAGTTCTGCTTCAAAACCTAAAATGTAGATTTAGTAATTTTTTTTGCAAATAATAAGCATGCCAAGCGCTAACCAGCAGCTACATGAACAATTCACTATAAAACATATCTCTCTGGGAAATTGTCATAATTTGGGTCCTTTCTGACCGGTAGGTTTGGAGACTTTGGTTATTAAAACGTTTGCTGAACTACAGAAACTCATTAAAATTTATGATTAAAATTGTTTGTAAACTAAAACGTTGACGAACATCCGAGCTTTCTAATTAAATAATTTCTAGGTGGTGCATAGTCAACCTTGAGGACTTGCATACGGTTGAGTAAATTGTTTGTTTTTGACGAGAATGCGGCCAAATAATTTCCACTAAAGTAACTGCGGCTTGATATTTTCAATTAATGTAGTAAATAATTTCAATTAATCAACAGCTCGAACGGTTTCCCAATAAATACGGTGGGCGGCTTCTCCGCAACATTAAAAGCTTCACTAAATAATTACTACACTTCAAATCAGAAATGAGTTTCAAGGGATCGGATTTCTCAAAACAGATTTAACCAATTTCGAAGTTCCATTTACAAACATCGCATTCCAATAAAGCGCCGTGATATATCAAGTTCCGCTTGTAATTAGTAGAGCTTTAATTACGTTGAAGATTACTTAGGAGAGCAGTTGCCTTCATCCAATCCGGTTGCAAGTAACACATGTTGCGATTGTAGTACAATTGGACCTATATTAGGACGCGGATAGTTTAAACCGAACGTATAGGGGCTAATTCTGGCTCATCCAGTAATTATAAATAAAATAATCCTAAATTTTAAGGCGAAGTGACAACTTTTTCGGGTTTTTATGCATGTCTCTTTGTTTTTGGAAAAGGCCCATTGATCATCATTCCGGGTCTCAGTCGTTCAATCTTTTATTGTGTCTGATGAATTAACCTTAAAAATAAGCGCCAAGTAAAACCAAAAACAGGGCTGCTGTCTCGGTTGATGCAAAAGTTATGCAAAAATGCCCATTTATTTTTTATTGTTATTTAAAATGGTCACCATCTTTCACAGACAATTTCCACAATCTACCAACTTTGCATCTGTTGACAATTTTAAGAAAATCCCCTTTAAAACAGATTTTTGCCAGCTTCGAAAACATCGGTCTGAAATTTAATATTTCCCCAACTGCAATTTCCGTCTGAAAATTCCCATCTTCCAAAGTAAAGCAAATAGCAATTTAAAATTGTCCCCATATTTAAACGACATTTGGGTGTAAAGATCCTGAAAGTTTCATAAAAATCGCCCAGAGTCCTGATTTTTAACAGCTTGGTAAAAATAGGTTTGAAATTTTTTAAAGAAAATATCAGCTTGGTAAATGTAGGTTATAAAATAAAAGTTTTGGCCCAAATGCGCTGCTTCTTTAAAAATTTGTAATCCAAAATAAAGCAGGCAATAATTAGATAAATCATGCATAAAACTGAGTGTGTTCAACGCTATAAGTTATGTTACTCTTAAAATAGATTTTTGCCAGTTTAGAAAACGTCGGTCTGAAATTTGATATGTTCGCCAACTGCATTTTCTTTTTGAAAATTTCCATCTTCCAAATGCATATCAATCTGCAACTTGCGATTGTCCTCCTATTTAGAAGACACTTGGATTTAAACACGCTAAAAGTTTCGTAAAAATCGCCCAGATTCCTGATTTTTACCAACTTGGTAAATATAGGTTTCAACATTTTCAAATAAAATGGCAGGCTGACAATGGAAGGTTTCACTTAACTGCTAGGTCTATTTTTAAAGTTAACATTTTCCAGGCTAAAGCAAATGCGACTTGTAATTTTTGCGACAATTTGAAGATCCTCGACTCGAAAGATGCTGGAAGATGCATAAATATCACAAGCAATCCTGATTTATTTCCAGCTTGGTAAATGTCTGTTTTAAAATAAAATTTTTGACCCAAATGTGCCGATTCTTTAAAAATTTGCAATCCAAAATAAAGCAGGTAGGAATTAGACAAAACAAGCATTAAACTGAGTGTGTTCAACGCTATAAGCTATGTTGCCCTTAAAACAGATTTTTGCCGGCTTAGAAAACGTAGGTATGAAATTTTGTATTATCCCCAACTGCGGTTTCTCTTTGAAAATTCCCATCTTCCAAAGTAAATCAAACAGCAATCTAAAATTGCACCTATAAGAAGACACTTGGATCTAAACATGTTCAAAGTTTCTTAAAAATCGCCCAGATCCCCGATTATTTACAAGCTTGGTGATGATAGGTTTGAAAATTTTCAAAGAAAATAGCAGTCTGATAATGGAAGTTTTCACTCAACTGCTTTGTCTATTTGAAAAACGCAGATCTTTCAAGCTAAAGCAAGTAGCAACTTACAATTTGTACAACAATTTGAAGTTACTCTACTGGAAAGATCCGGGAAGTTGCATAAATATCACAAGCCATCTCGATTTATTTCCAGCTTGGTAAATGTCGGTTTTGAAATAAACTTTTTGGGCCAAATGCGCCGATTCTTTAACAATTTGTAATCCAAAATAAAGCAGGTAGGAATTAGACAAAACAAGCATGAAACTGAGTGTGTTCAACGCTATAAGCTATGTTGCCCTTAAAACAGAGTTTTGCCAGCTTAGAAAACTTCTGTCTGAAATTTGATGTTTTTCCCAACTGCGATTTCTCTTTGAAAATTTGCATCTTCCAAAGCAAGGCAAACAGTTGTATCAAATTGTCCTCAAATTTAGAAGAAACTTGGATCTAAAGATGCACAAGTTACATAAAAGTCGTCCAGATTCCTGATTATTACCAGCTTGATAAAAATAGGTTTCAAAATGTTTAAATAAAATGGCAGTTTGATAATGGAACCTTACACTCTATTGCTCTCTCTAATTGAAAATTTCACATCTTCCAAGCTAAAGCAAGTAGCAACTTGTAATTATTACGCCATTTTGAAGACACTCGACTCTATGTTACCCTTAAAATATTTTTTTCCAGCTTAGAAAACATCGGTCTGGAATCTGATATTTTCCCAACTGCATTTTCTTTTTGAAAATTTTCTTCTTCCAAAGCGTAGCAATCTGCAACTTGAATTTGTCCTCGTATTTAGAAGACACTTGGAGTTCAAAATGCTAAAAGTTTCATAAAAATCGCCCAGACTCCTGCTTTTTTCCCAGCTTGGTAAGCAAAGGTTTGAAAATTTTTAAAGAAAATAGCACTCTGATAATGGAAGTTTTGATTCAATTGCTAGGTCTATTTTAAAAATTATCATCTTCCAGGCTAACGCAAATGCAACTTGTAATTTTTACGACAATTTGAACATCCTAGATTCGAGATGCTGGAAGATGCATAAATATCGCAAGCAATCCTGATTTATTTCTAGCTTGGTAAATGTCGGTTTTAAAATAAAAGTTTTGGCCCAAATGCGCCAATTCTTTGAAGCTTTCTATTCCAAAGCACGTAAGAACCAGATAAAACAGAAACGAAATTGAGTGTGAAAATTAGAATAAAAAACTCTTTGCCCCCTTATAAGGGCAAAATGATCTTGTTGATTTTAAACTTAAAGTCCTTTCTAGTTCTCCGTCATAAATTTTTTAAAGTTGTTCAACGATAGTCTGATTTCCGAAGACTAATTCCTACTTTTTTCCTAAAAACATACAGGGTGCTCCAATTAAAACAAAATAGTTTTTCGAAAATATTCGAATGCGCCAATCGGGCTGCTTAAATATACTCACATAACGTGTATTTTATGGTTCATCATTTTAACCCTCCAGCGCGCGCGCCTTTTAAACTCTCACGAGCGGGCGCGCCGCGGCTATTGCACCGCAAATGCTTTTCTTAAAAAAAAAACGTCGTTTACTACTTTAAAATGTATTTAATAAGTGAAATTAAAGCAAGTAACCAAAAATAGATGCAATTCTACAAATAATACTTGAAAAAATGCTAACAAAATTAAATGTATATGTAAAAAATCTAAAAATAAAAATCTGAAGTACATATCACTGTTTTTTCCAATAAAAAATTGATAATCTTTGTCTGTTCCCGTGGTTCAAATTCTGCTTCTCCTTCATCTGCTTATTGTTCGGAATCACTACTATAAACGTTACTTTCAGTAACTTCTGGCTCCTGGTCTGAATCGCTGTCAAAATTGTCATCAATTACGTGACTTCTGTTCACGTTAATGTTCTATTGTAGATCTTATTCTGCTTATCTTGTAATTATCTCACCACCTATGGCAACAATTTTTCTAATTCGTCTGGACTCCATTTTTTTTCGACCTCTAACAAAAATTTAAAAATCTATATACAATTTTTTACCTTAAACGACATACATCTACAATACTTCACCATAAAGAATCAAACACGATAAATGTGTATCAACATATGCTCAATTTGTAACAAAAAACTCCATAAATACAGGGTGATTCAAAATTGGCGTCATTCTTCTGGAGGTGTTGTCTGGCGCTATTATAAGAGTACAAAAAAAATAGTGAAATAATAGAAATACGGCAGCAATGTTTTTCAAGGTAATCTGCCTAATTAACATTGCGCAAATACCTGTGGCTTCGTAATTATTTAAAACTCCGGTAACCATG